CCGCGACCCCATGTCGCACGGTCTCGTTAGAGTACTTCTTGTTTAGCGCACCTAGATTTAAAGATGTTCTCTCCTATTCATACTTTGCCAGAGGACACCTGAATCTGATCTGATCTGACTGATCCGGAAGAGTTCGATACCCCCGTACAGTATTGTTTCTCGCCTCATTTGGACGGGAACTGTGAGAGTGATGAGTGTGATGAACTTTTCTTGCCACGTTGCTCCCATTGTGAGAGACTTTCTGCTTCGAACACTTTGCATTGGACTATCATCACATCCTGTATCACCTGTCGTCCCGTTGATCATGGACTTCCTCGAACGAGCGCCAGTAACGTCTCCATTGGCCCCTGTCACGAGACAGAGTGGTCCAATGAATCGCCTTGGCTTCAGGAACACGAGGTCCAACACTACTTTCATTCAGAGCTCTGACCTTCTCGTTGGAGCCCTGGTATTCGTTTGATGTCCCGAGGGGTCCGGTCAGTAACCGCCCTGGTCCATCGGTCATCACTATAACGCATAACGTGTTCGGTCCCCCTGATCTTCGATTTCTTGGCGTAATCCATGGCATCCCTAATCTTCGTTCGATGACGGAGCTCAGAACTCCGGACTCCCTTCTGCAATTTCGTGTGTAGGGAAATTCCGAACATCGTCCTTTCCTAAGCGCGTTGAGGACTATCATATATGAACAAAAATCATTGTTGCGACAGCTCTTTCCCTTTTTTCTTTGTAGAAACGTCGATTGAGACCTACTGGCTCACTCCTGGTCGGGGAGAGGGCATTGTTGTAAAAGGTGCTGCGGTCAGATGAGTACCGAACTCCTCCCCCCCCCCCCCCCCCCCCCCCCCCCTCACCTCCCCCTCCTCTAACTCTGTCGAAAGTGCATGCAGCTGCCATGAATTTCGCAACCCCTTTCGAGGGTTTGGGGGAGCTCCCATTGTATTATCTTTTTCAGTATTCAAAGAAGTTTGCATATGATGAATATGAAGCGCAGAAGCGTTTTACATGCGTTTAAAAGATGTTTTCAAAAAGCAAAACGAGCACACGCATCAAGGATCCGAAACTTTATGATCATCCTGTGAGTCCGCCGTCGAACCAACTGTTCCATCGGTGCACGATTGCTAACCTTTTAGGTTCGCTCATATAGGCAACACGGTGCTACAACATAGGGGAGAAAACGTTCTCGTAACTCTGTTCACAGAATCGTTAAGCAGATTTGGAAAATGGATCTGAGATCCCCACTTGGCCACTTGGAATGACCTATAGCGGTGTACATAATATATTAGATGCCACTGCGACCTAGTAGCCTGGCCTGGTTAATTATGTGGATATTGCTGCTTGCAGTCAAGCAGTGTTGGATATTATGAATAATGCATTAGTCATATCAATACATATCGAAATTTCGCACCATTTGCTGCACAAAAAAGTCACGAACGGAAAGCAGCCGCGCCGCGGACTTTTGAGCGCTACTGTAGATGTGATCAAGTCTTTCTGCGACTTGTTCTGTAGACCAGTAACTACAAAACGGGTACACTGTCAGAAATGGAGCCAATTCACGTGTGAAAGTTCGTACGGTACTATTCAAATGAAAAAGGCGACAAGCGTAACAGCGTAACAGCCAAAATAATGTGTCTACTCGAATGGATGTCGGAAAAGGTTATGGAAGGTTGCTTTAGAACGAAGGAACCCTGCGTCTGTGCAGAAATCAGGCGGTGGCAAAGAGCGAACCCGCTCCATCCACGTGTAGAGCAAAACTGTTACCACTACATCACGTCGACCCTTGATTTCAAAGCGACAACGGCGCCAATAAGCACTATCTTCGAGCGAATGTCGATCGCTCCTCATTCTCTCAAAATGGCATGTTTGCAGCTTCGATCTTCCTCTTCGTTAACGATATTCCGAACTCAACGATGCTGATGATCAACAGCCGAAGTTCCACAGTAAATAAGCTACCCGCCCCTGATAAGGTTTGAGTGCATCTAGTTCCGTGGCAAGCAGCGCATACTAGCACAAGCAATATCCTTGCACCAAATCTCGCACCGATACGTGATCAGACCAACCAGGCCTCCGACGAGAGGAACGGCCTTCCTCTTTTCAGAGCTTTTGGAAAGATATCTAATCATCGCACTGGCAGTCGTTCTGGTGTTTGTTTGACGCCCCGACGGATCCAGTTAGTAACCGCACTGGTCCAGCGCTCATAATGATATCGCATAACGTGTCCAGCTCACCTGACCCTGGATTCCTTATCATAAACAACGATGTCCCTGAAGGTGAGCACGGAGCCGGATGGTGCCTTCTTCCTTACTCATTCCATGTTCATAAATGCTCCCGTGCCCTAGGTTTTCCATATGCCAATCTTTGGAGCTACCTGGGTCGTTCATCATGTTGACTTCTCCGCCTAGTCACCAAATATATTCAAAACATTTAGAGGTAGCTCCGCAAATTTGAACGTTAATTGGTGATTGTTTGCAGCTCGTGCGATGCCATGCTCTCGTATCAACTTGAAGGTTTCCGAGTCTCATGACAGCTTGAAGGCTATCTGTTTCCCGAGCACTATCGTGAAGATGTTTAACGAGCCGGCTGTGGTTGATAATAAGAACGACTCTATTTAAACTGCTTCCGGAACTGCGAATCACCACGAATGTTGTGGGTCGACACGATAAACTCGGACAGTCATTCACCGCGTTCATTCCATTCCATTACGCGATCCCTGATATGTCGCTTTTCAGTCGTTATTCCTCGGCCAATCTTGGCGGTGAAATCGCCGATGATCTTGAAGAGGTATGGTCTTTGCTGTACAGCTTTTCCAGATCCATATTAAGCGCTTTCAGCTTCTCCTCGCTGTAGATTGGAGTTGGTGATAGGCAAGTATTTAGATTATAAGAGCTGAGGATGAGCTCTATCACTATATTAGACGTCCGGTTCGAGTTTCAAACTTTCGTAGGAATCGATGTCCCTGACCAAGTGGTTGCTGACGAGGACATCTACACCTTCGACGGCTCTGCTGTTGCATGTTCCCCAGAACACTTATTTTTCGGTCTCGGAAACGGCATTCAGCTTGCAACGCTTCTCGTCTCGGTCACTCCTATGACGTCGTACTTGATGTTCTTAGCTTTCACCATCCGAATTTCTATGCATGCTTCCGATACAGACGTTTGTGCATTGAAAGTACAGATCGCCATCCTGGTCCCTCTCTTTCAGACCTATTGTGACCCTGAGATGCAGCAGCCCCTACCGAACGGTCTTACGCATCGCTGTCATATTGAAGTTAGGTGAAATTCAGCGGAATAAGACCTACTGGTACCACTGTTCTTGGCATATGGGTGTTCATGAATAGCCTGTCAGCCACCGAATAATCTATTGGCCTGGGGTGAAGTATGTGTAACGAGTGAGTATGAGTGTGAGTAAGCTATCCCACAGGGACAAAGAATCTATTTCTTTCAGTCAATCTCGAATCGACTCTCGAGTATTTCTCAGCTGCATGCGTGCATAAAGTGGGGCGGAGGTGGTGTAGTAGCAAAAGGCCGCTATCTCACAGGTTAGAGGTTCGAATCCCGGATCGATATCCCCTGAGCCAAACAAGCCTTCCATCCCTCTGGGGTCGGTAAATTGGTACCAGAGTCATCTAGGAGGATAAAAGCACTGACGTACATATCGGCTGGCCGCTGCAAGTCATTGTAAAGGCCACATACGCAATCATTACGCCACTATGATTCTGAATGGAAGTCGAGTGCGCATTCCTCAGACGTGATTGATTAACGTCAAAAACTTTAGCCTTTATCTTGCACGCATGTATAATACACCTGACGGTATAAATCGACCCAACACAGCTGAAATAGGGATCACCTAGAATCACCGGTGTCTCTAGGCAAATGCCGGTGACTACTGGTAAGCGCTTTATATCCCTATTCGCCTTTTGGGATGACGTCACGAAACCTCGTCACCAACCGACCATCGTTACTTCAGTGAGAGAGAAGTACTATCCTTGATAAAGGTGATCATTGGGTGTGAGCAGTGTACACAATCATTTTGCTACTACGATTATGGATGAAGCGCGAATGCGAAAATTTTGAAAGCGGGAAATATTAAGACCAAAAAATTTTATGATAGCCTTCTGGCGCTTTCAATTTCAGTCTTCAGATGCGCCCTTACATGCGACTTTCAGTCAAAATCGTGGTTGTATTTTGAATGCGTGTGTGGTCTACACAGGTTTGTACAATGACTTGCAGTGACATCTCTACAGTGACACATGTACAAATCAGTACTTTCACCACCTTGCGGAAATATGGAAGGCTTGCTTGACCAGCGGGTATACAGCCGGAATTCGAACCCTTGCCATGCGTGCGATATATTTTACTTGCCACCACAGCTTCACCATATTTCGATTTCAACTTGATAGCACAGAAAAAACCGTAATTCATTTATCACAACATCACTAATGAGGTAAGCCTAGATTGAATGATTATTTGCAAAAATCATGAACAAAGACATGCTTCACAAAAAGAAAATCTCGATTATTCGAAAGGAGCCATTCCCGCAAAGGTGTTCGCTTCACAGCATTTATAATCTAAAAGCAATTACTCAACGTCGTTCATCAGAAAAAGAGCCACCACTGAATTCCTCGTTTAAGCTGCTCATCACCCAATCGAAAAATAGGGTGGAGCGTACCCTCATCCCATACCGCTTCAAATTCACGCTATGGCAGTGTCACTAAAATTTGTCGATGCGATAGACAACAGACTGTGAGGTTTGCAGAAAAGTCTAAAGATAACTCAGCTTATGTGATCAAGTTTAATGAAACATTGATTCACACTTTCCTCTAAATTTGGAAGAAAGCAAGAAGGACTACAACGACAACATGATGTATTAACTGACAGTTATTGATGTTTTGACAGATTATTTCCATGTAGAATGGATATTCATATTCCGACATCCCACAAATCGATAAGTCTGATAATTTAAGCTCACCTAGTGATCGCAAATAGTGATTAGTAAAACAACACTTACGCTTTGTTTGGCTCATCGCTGCCTCCCTTTCCTTTGCCATCAAGAGCGATTTTATCGTTTATGCCAAATTTGCATTCAGGCATACCACTCAGGTACGATTTCATCGCCACCTTTCCCGCAACATGAGCAGAGAGCACTTGACCTTAACATTACCAGGAGTACACCGTAAGCCCAACGACACAATCACGTCGATGCAAAAGTCTTAAGAAGAATAACGTGCATACTTGTTTCGCCATAGGAACCCATGCCACCCTCGAGCCACCACCACCCTTCCTGTTCAAGAGACCTCGCCCCTCTGACCATGACTACATAAGAAACCTTGAACAGTTCCTCGCGAAGAACTTCACGTGACCTCAGGAGTGCTGTGGCTGACTCTCTTGACTCATAGTTCTCTTCTCTTTAGAAGAAGAGAACACCAGAGAATACCTGACTTGCGCCTTCTTTGGAATAATTGTAATGGAAATAAAAAACACGTTATACACTACGTCATGAATTGCTATAATATAGTTTAATAATTCCGAGTTCGGAGAAATTGTAGAACGATTCAGAAAGTAAATCTGAGCGTCATACATATATGTATATATGTATATATATACAAATATATACACATACATAGATACATACATAGATACATAGATACATAGATACATAGATACATACATACATACATACATACATACATACATACATACATACATACATACATACATACATTCCTTGAGACTTTCAGTAATGTGCGTAAACAGCTTAGAGTCCTTCAACTCAATTTTTTTCTAACTACGCCTTGTATTTGGCTATATACGGGGCGTGCCATAAATATGATAACAAAAGAATTGAGCTACAGAAACCGCAGTTCTTATTGATAAAGTAGCGCTCAAAAGGCTTCTCCAGTAGTACTTTTCAGCCGTAACTTCTTTCCTACTGGGTCTGATCATGCAAAATTTCAAAATGTGTAGCGTGGGTGTACTGTGAATATTTACCACTATTAATCTGCAATCTGATCATGTTGTAGATATCCCAAAGGCCTTGGACTCAAATTCAACTGGAAAGACAGACGTTAGTCTTTCTTGGAATTCTTCCCTTTTAGTCATGTCTTAAGTGTACGAGCGTTAAAGCCGAACACGGTGGAGAAGAATAACGCACATAAGGTGCGAATAAACGCAGACGTCACTAACTTTGGTTAGGCGAAGTGGCGAAGTCTGCTACCGCAAAAAACGCGCCGCTCTCAGTTATGTGGATATTGCTGCTTTGCCGTCAAACAGGGTTGGATGGTGTGGAACATGCTTCAGTTAGACATATCAAAATTTTGCGCGATTTGCTCCAGTAAGAAAAAAGTTATAAATGAAAAAGCGCGAAAGCGCTTGGCCGAATACTTTTGAGCGCTACTGTATATACGTGGTATTTTGTTTTACATTCCCTCTAGAAGGCAGGCAATGATCGCTAATCATTATTCTGTATGAACATGACCCTATATTTGAACTTCTGGTCTAGGAGCTAGCCCAGGAGGTATGGAGATTGTTCAAATTGTAATCAATGATAAACCAGTTTTCACATATTCACCCCTGTGTAAATTATCAGATAAGGACATAATCGCTATTAAGGTGTCAATCTAGGAAGCTTTTCTGCCGCTTTTAAATCCGTCTAGGAACTGGCATGAGGGGCTGCTCAAAATGCGCACATAATATGAGAAGTAGCTGATACCTTTCTCCACTGTAACAGGATACGGTGGATGGCCCGTAGGATTCAAAAACCGTATATAGTGAGGAGATCAGAGAGACTGCTATTAATCACTTTGTATCCACTCAAGATAGTTCATCTCGGGGTGAAACCCCATAGCCATAATCGTTTCTATTATTCGTACTCTTACGAAAAATTTCGGCAATGTAACACGTTACTCCAATGAATACACCGTCCCGAGAGCGGGAAAACAGTAAAATTTTTCTTAAGAGCAGCCCTGTACTTACAACGCTACATACCGCGTTTTACAATTCATAGCCTCGAGCACTATTCTCCATTTTCTACTCAAGCTAACTAGCTACTTCCATACCCAACACAACATAGCAAACAGTTCCGCCACTAGATAAGGAAGCGTCAGACGGTATGGAGGAGCAATCAATAATCAGGCTCTTCCTGTTTCCAGGAAGAAGGACATATTTTCCCCATGAATTATAAAGATGGTTGACAGAAACCCTTTTGTATCAGTTTTCACAGTCAGCCTCCATTGGTGTCGCGGAGCGCGAGTTCAAGATTTGTTATGCGAACGGTACGTGACTCTGCGAACAATTGATTCCAGCGAACCTGCGTGTCAGTTAAGAAGATGGCGGTCAAACTCTGATCCCTGGGGGTTTCCCGCCTATCACGTTATTTTCAGGACTTCAGGGTGCCACCTTGGACATTGTACCCTGGGCGGTATAAAAGGTCCTGCACGTGTGGTCGAGCCCCTTTTTGCTCTTAGCATTTCATTGATCGTTTTATGTTCAGTTGTTCCTTGTTTCTGATAAAGTATCCTTACTATATATAAAGCGCTCTGTCTGTCTGTCTGTTTGTTTGTTTGTTTGTTTGTACGGAAATTCGATATAACGTGAAGAAATACCTGGAGAGGTCGGGTCAAGTTTGGAATGGGTTGAGCATAGGGTAAGTGCAACAGAGCACATGTGAGCCTAGCGGAGCTCCGCCCCCAAGGGGCGGGGCATGCTCCGGAATTGGGCGGGGTCATGGGCGAATTCTTCTAACTCGGTCTCATAATGTTCCAGACACCGGGAAAAATGTGCATAGGTGAGGGATGGGTCAGCAATCAAAATAAAGGAAACTTACCGGCGGTGGGCGGAGCGTTCTCGCAGTGGGCGGTACTTTCCACAGAGATTCATAACTCGATTTAACGAAGGCGTCGAGGCCAGGGAAAAAAATAAAAAGAGGGAGCAAGGCCTTATGCGTGCTGAGCATGTAAAAGTATAGCGAAGCCCCGCCCACGAGGGGCGGGGCGTGCGTTTAGGTGAAAGCTACTTTTCAAAAATTAGTGTAACTTCGTTCGGAAAAGTTATAGAATGCGGAAAAAAAGTGGTTAGAGGTAATGGGACCAATGTGGTCAAATCCCGAAAGTGGGCGGGGTTGGCACCAAAGTGGGCGGGGCTTAGAACAAAAATTTATAACTCTATTCAGAAACGTGCTGGGAAGCGGCAAAAAGGTGTCAAGGTGTAAAAGAACAAATGAGGTCAAATCCCGAAAGTGGGCGGGGTTGGCACCAAAGTGGGCGGGGCTTAGATAAAAAATTTATAACTCTATTCAGAAACGTTCTAGAACCACTAATAACTGTGCTCAAATATATCGAGCGTGATGCTATCAGCAGTTCAGCGTTCGAATCTAGAGGGAACTATCTTATTCTGCTTATCCAACATTCCGCTGAATGACTCCATCGTGGATAAGTGGCCATCGACATATACTGCGCGCGTTAGCGTGCATAGCCAAACTGGTTATTTTACAACTGCGGACAGCGACCACCTTGATGCGACATCGACAGAACATATAGTTAAATAGTGCCGCGTGGCCCATTTTATTAGCCATCGGTCGGGACAGTAGTAGACCTGCGGTTGAGTTTATTGGAGAGTTTAAATGTTTGTGCAACTTTGCCGCAATGCCATGAAGCTTTCAAAAACTCTGAGTAGACGGTTTAGAGACCACATGCAGCGGATACCCCATATTTTCTAATCTTAGAAACAAAAAAACGCTCCTAAACTGGTCGCTCTACGAATGCAGTAGACTAGTTTTGGCTTCATTATATTCCAGTTATGTAGGTATATTAGTGAAATTTCAGTGTGCACAGACTAATATTCGTTTAACAGTTCATATACCAGTTCGAACAGTATTTAGTATCAGTCGGACTAGTAAGGCTCTTGTTATACTACGACTATAACTACACCGTACTATGCTTAGTCAAGTTGTCATAAGTTTTTCATTTTGCTGTAGTTTCACATACAAAAGTACAAAAAAATCTAACTCATGGAATTAGCTTACTGTGTCATCATGAGACCTATATCAATGATCACAGTGTATAAGGAAACTCATAGCTTAACCAATCACCACGTCGCACAATGTTTATACATGTCACCCCCACCTCCTTTTGGCCTGAGATCCGGCCTTTTTTTTCGGAGCGTCATATTTTCATCACATTTTTTTGAAGGTATGTGGCGAGAGCCACTTTTAACACTTTCTAACTGCTTCTTTATAACGCCATTTATTCACATTACTAGACGGTCAACTAGCAACATGATGTTCCAGGATACGGATTCATTCTATTCGTTTTTTATCAACTTTCGATTTCCTTATGCTATGACGTACAGTACCGCTTGAGCTTATTTGAAGCTCGAGGACGAGCTTACTGGAAGGTACGGAGATGTCGTATCCCCCTAACCGATGGCCACCTCGACGAAGCCACCTGACAATCAAGAGACGGATGTTACACAGGACCAATGTGAACGAAGCCAACTGGGCTCTCTCACTCGTCAAGCCCTGTGTGTAGCGCCAATCGCATTGGCGCTAGCTGACTTGTCCTGGCCTTCCCTTCATCCAGTCATATAATGTAACAATATAACTACCACACACGAACTCATGTCCCGCTCCGCCATCAGTTATAGCCCGATTACCCTTTAAACTGTTAGACGCGCCAAACAGCGATGAATTTTCGGCTCTGATCTCCATCTCTTGAAAATGTGGCCAGAGGTTGGTGGCCGGCGTATGACTCTCATTCGTCTAACATGTTAACCTGTTCTCAACATTTGCTCCTTTCCTCCAGGTGCCTGGGCTTTGAAATAAAATTATGAAGTGTTCTTATTTTACGTGCCATTCCGGTGAATGTTCCGCCCCATGGAAACGGGGTTCCTCATATGTTCTCTGTTGATCTTGTCCGAAGTTCCAGCTACCCCAAAGTTGACCTGACTTCTTTAGATAACACGGTATGGATTTCTCTAAATGCTCTAGTTATGTGTAGCTAGGTCAAGAGGTCAACATGATGCGAGCTGCGGAGCTAAGCAGTAGGAAACACGCAGAGTGGGGAGCATTTAAGACTATCGAGCGAGTAAGGGTGCTCGGAATTACTCTATTTAAGTAA